ACCTCAAGTGACCTGCCTGCCTCAGCCTCTTAAAGTGCTAGTATTACAGGCATGAGCCACTGCACCTGGCCTAATTTTTTTCTTTAATGTTAGTTGCTTTTCTGCTAATAAAATCATTTCATATTCTTGGCTTAGCCTTTACAATTATTTTCATCACAGACCAGCAGTATCCAATAAACCTTCTGCAACGATGAAATGTTCTATTTCTGCGCTGTCCAGGGTAGCCACTAGCCACGTGTAGCTATTGAGCATTTGAAATATGGTTAGTGCAACTTGTGGAACAAAATTTTAAGCTTTATTTAATTTTAATGAAGTTAAATAGCCACATGTGGGTATTGGCTGCTCTATTGGACAATGCAGTGATAGACCTTGTTGAATGAAAAAAAAGAAAATCTCTACCACAGCTATACAAACATGGCATCATAGAGGGTAATATAACAATATTTGATTTATAAGCCAGAATCAGTATACATTGTTTCCAGTTAAAGATCTTAAGCTGAAAAACGGAATACTGTCCTCTACCTTTAGGATAAGAAAACGCCACAAATCTTCTTTCCAAATATACAATGGGGAATAAAAACTTAATTGTATATGTTTTGTTAAAGATGACTGTTCATATGTTTGACATATACAAGGCACTTTCCTATATTTTAGCATATGTGACTTTCATAATCACTGTGGGATTGTTACTAACTCCATAATTTACAGCTTAGAGAGCATCTAAGATACTTGTTCAGGTCACAGCTGGTAGAACTTTCCAGGTCTTGTAATTCCAAATTCTGTTTTCCCCTCTTTTTAGCACTGATGCTCATATAAAGAAACATAAGTACTACAAAGATTTTACTGTCTCTATAAATGATTTTTCCAAAAGTATTAAAGCCTTTATGCTGATTATTTTTCACTCACATAATTTCAGCAATTTAATGAGTAGAACTATCACTTACATATTTTAGACATTTGACTGATAAAAAGATATTCATAGGATGGTTCCTGGCTCCATTACTCTAGGTGCATAAACTTAACCAATTCGCTAACCCTTCTCAGCTTCAATGGTTTCATCTGAAAATGAGTGAACAACCAATGCAGCACTATGCCACCAAGAAATAAGGGCCTGGAAACCCTTAGACCAGGGAGACTGCTGCACAATCATTCAGCCATAATAACCACAATAAAGTCAAATATAAAACCAACACACCACCTCACAGTTTACTGCAAACGCACCATGATTACCGTTGGTAGCTAGGACCTTGACAGAAGTCTTCACGAAGCCCTTTAGGTTTTCTTTTTGGTCATGAACCTGAAGCTGAAACAAATGTTGTTAAATAAGTTACTGTTTTTTCTAACTACAATGAGGCTCTTAAAATATTATCGACTGAAAATTAATGTTTCCAAATGCTTGGTGATCACCAGGGCCTGTGCTGGAGGCTACAACTTGACTTCTGAAACAGGCAGCACTTTGGGCGACAAGTCCTACCTTGGTAATCTGACATCTGGGAGACCACAGAAAACCACCACAACAGCCCTATCAAGATTCAAATCCACTGAGAACAGTAAACCAACCAAAAATAAAAATCCAAACAAGCTTTACGAGGCAGGGTGACTAACTCTCATGAACATGCATTTCCTTTGACCCTCAAAGATCTTTAAGGACTCCACTGTGCAAGTATTTTTAAGTTACCTCTCTTTGGTTACTTTTTTATATATTACATAATGAACAGAAAAAAATCTCCTCCTATAAGCAGAGTTCTCAGGGGCCATGCTCTGAAGGTGAATAATTGCTAATGTTGTAAACACCTTTCTTCCCCTCTTTCCACCATTCGCCCTGGTCCATCGGCTCCCCTCTGGCATCCTTACTTTATCTCGCATTGACTGGTTTGACAGTCAAACCACTTCAATCCTCCTCTCAATATGTACTCTTACTCCCTGACCTCTCCTCTCCGCTACAACCCTCTGGATGACTCGCTCTGTGTGCACTTTGCTTTTCTATTAAACGTACTCCAAGGTGAGTCTTGACTCTTTAGTGTAGGACAAGATTGTACACTAACACCAGCATGGACCTGCTTTTCATTGTGTCTGAAATGTGAGCCAGGTAGTGTCAGCCTGCTGTGAAGTTAACATGGCCAGGACGAATCTTCTACAGAAATAATTTCCATTTGTTTCACTATTTAGTAGTGAAAGATATTAATGCATTAATGGTAATACATTTCTGGTTTAATGTAAATTACAGATATTTTCTAGTTGTGCATGAATGCTGGCAACTTAGTAAATTTTGACAATTGTTTAAATATGCAATGTTAAGCTTAGGTTTAAAAAAGTAAAGCTGGTAAATCGGTCATTTGCTTAAAAAAAAAATTTGAATGTGTTGGTACAAAAAAAAAAAAAAAAAAACCACAACTACCACCTTTTCCATTTCTGTATCCAAGATTTTTATCTGACCCAAGAAAAATTACCCAGTTATGCAGACTGAGACCACAATACAGATGCTGGCTCCACCGCCAGGTGGTCCTCCAAAGTCCTGATGCCTTTGGCTCTTGCGTTCTTGGCCAGGCACCTTGTCCATTCTTCACAGCAGTAATTCCAAGCCCTTCACAGTTCTTTCCTTAGCCAACTCCTATCATTCAACTCATCCATACCCTGACCCTCTCTGAGCCCTTCTGTCTGGCCCTAGGTAATATTCTCCCAGTTGCTCCCAACAAGTCCCTCTGCCTCCAGTGGTTTTTGCACTAGTTTTTCTAGTAAAAACTGCCACACAAAGCCCTTTCTATGAACATAGTAAGAAAAGCTCAGGGTGTAAAAGTAACTTGCCCAGGAAAGTAGGCAGCGAAACAGCCCCAAATCTCAGCTCCCCCCGCTGGCTCCGAAGTCCCTGTCCTGCTCATTACGCTGTATAGTCCCGCCAGCCCAACTAGTTTATATTTGCTACACTTTTTCTACCTCAGCATCTTCCCTCCTTGTTCTTATTCTTGGAATTCAGTCTCCCACTTTCCCAAACTAAGCCCTCCATGCTTTAAAGATAGGTTGAACTTGTCTGAGCTACTTTACAACATTATTTATTCACCTAATTTTTCTTCTCATGGTTCCCCTCTATTTCCTTTCCTTTGCTTTTTTTTCATAGTGTTTATTACGATATTATCCATAGTTATAGCCACACCTACATAAATAATTTACCTCTTCACCCATCCAAATATTTATTGATGGCCTGTGTGTATCAGAAACTATGCTAAGTGCTGGGGGACAATGGGGAGGAAACATGCTAATCAGTCCCTCCAGAAGCTTGTCATTTTTTGAAGATGGCAGTCAGATTACTAACTCATTACAAAACATAGTTAAGTGCAGTGGAAGAAAGAGACAGGGTGCTGCAGAAGAGGGAGACCCTATGTAGAAATGTCAGTGGGGCCGGGCGCAGTGACTCACGCCTGTAATCCCAGCACTTTGGGAGGCTGAGGTGGGTGGATCACGAGGTCAGGAGATCAAGACCATCTTGATGCAACATGATGAAACCCCCATCTCTAAAAATTAGTCAGGCATGGTGGTGCGCACCTGTAGCCCAGCTACTCTGGAGACTGAGGCAGGGGGACTGCTTGAACCCAGGCAGCGGAGGATGCCGTGAGCTGAGATCGTGCCACTACACTATAGCCTAGGTGACAGGGCAAGACTCTCTCTCAAAAAAAGAATTACAAAAGAAAGTATGGTCAGTAAAAGACCTTGAGGATGTGACAATTAAGTAGAGACCTCAAGGTTACAAAAGAACTAGCCATGTGAAATGTTGAGGGTGCACCAGGAAAGAAGGCTCCAGAAAGGTGGGCAGTGTGGTGTAAAGACAGCAAGGAAAGGGTGGAAGAGGGGGTAGGGGCCAGACCAGAGAAGCAGCAGGTCTGGGATATGCTTGTGATGTAGAACAGTGGGACTTGCACACTGTCCAGATGAAAGGGTGTGCAAAAAGGGGACAGTGAGGATGACACTAGGTTTCTGGCATAAGCAGGGGAACAAATACACTTAGGCAGACTACAGGGAATTTAGTGTGCTGGAGATACCCCAGGCTGGGGAGAGGATCAAGAGCACATCTTCATGCAGGTGATGCTATGGTGCCCGAGGGAAACCTGCATAAGCAGGCAGATGGATATTCAGCAAGTTGGGAGTCCAGGGGAATCGTTTCTTTACAGAAACAGAGAGAAAATACTATAAGGTAGGACATTACTGAAAAGGTAAGTAAAGTGACTCAGAAATGAGTCTATTAGATCCAGCAGCCTCAAGGTCACTGGTGTGAGCTTCAGTGGTGAGTGGAGGGAGTGAAGCCAGCTGGCATAGACAACTCTTCATTGTGCATGAACTATACGCGACAGGGAGGGAAATGAGAGTAGCTATGCAGTGAGAGACCTGGGGTCATGGAGGCTTAGTTTGCTAAAACAAATGGGAGATACCAGGATGGTATGTTGAGGAACATGCTCATTTTACAGAGAAGGGGAGTCTGGTGAGTCTGTGAGTCCGTGCAGGAGGACAGGATGCAGATGCACATGCAGAGGAGCTGTGATGGAAAGAGGGATGCTTCCTCCATCATGACTACAGAGAGGAGCAGATGTTGGTGAATCCACTGGGAGGGAAGAGCAGGGCATTATTTCCCAAAGGTTTTGTTTTTTCAGTAAAGTATAGGTCAAGGCCACCTGCAAGGAATTGAAGCAATTAGCAAACAAACAAACAAAAAATGCTGCAATGCTGGTATGTGGAAAAGGGCAAGGTTAGGAGGCAGCTGATTGACCTGAGGTTTTAAAAAAAAGCAGAGTTGTCATGCCCTGAGGCTTTTTGAGCCAATGAGCTGTAGGGGTAAGATAAGTGGTGGTCAGAAGTAGATATCTGTAATAAAGGTTTTAGAGTTGATTGTTTTTCTTTACTGGACTGTATTGAACAAACATATTGAACTTAATACTTCACTCCACTTTTCTCTGAACATCTGTGGCACTGCCTTGTCAAACCAAAGAAAACTACCAAATACTTGCCTTTATAACTCAACACTCGGCCAAAGTGGTGGTTACATTCCTCTACCCTGCTGTGTCTGCCTGAAGGAGTCCGTCACACCGTATATTTTTCCATATCAACAACAGATCATCTTAGATGCTGAAACAAAACATGAAGTAGATGGGAGAGAAAAGGTAAATGAGCCAATGCGGAGACTTGCCTTTGCATGCTTGATCCTGTGGGAAGCACAAAGCCAGTGTGATTACAGAGTAACAGGAGAAGTTACAGGATTACTCAAGGGAGAATTTGCAAGTGGCCTGCCTATTGCACCAGGGCTGCTGCTGCTTAAACAGGCGATCCCCCGCCACCCCATTTCCCCACCACAAAACACAGAAAACAAATCAAACAAACAAACAAAAAACCCACCTCCAGAGTCAGCCCAATGCCAGACAATTGCTGCAACTTGACTGTAACCAACTTGATCAATCACCTACTCTAGGACATAATAGCTCCCTGAAAAAGGAGAGACTTGTCATGCCTTCTTTATGAGTTTATCCCTTCAAGAGCCTCCTACAATAATCTCTATGTTTGTTAAGTTATTAAGAATTTATCTGAGTTTCTCATTAGACCCCATTCATGAATATTTTTATTAATAAACCTCAGACTGGTTCTGATACTGATAATGATGGTGATGAGAACAACAATTCTTATTTGAGTATCCATGATGAGATCAGATTATGAGGCAGGCTCTGTGTCAAGTATTCTATATACATTATTTTAATGGATTCTTATAACAACCTGACAGGGTAGTTAGCATTATCCTCATTATTCTGAATGAGAAAACGGAGGGCAGGAGAAAACTTATCCAGCGTCTAAACCTTGACTAACACTTCGATGAGAAAACAGAGCCTTTAGGAAGCCTGACTTCCTCCTTCAGCGCCCAGATTCTTACCTGCCTTCCACTGAGGGGATCTGAAAAACATAACAAAAAGAGAAAAGTTAATGGTGAAGATAATCCCAAGGGAGAAGTCCTAAAGGTACAGAATATGATAAGTATTTTCTAGTCACTGTAAAATATTTGTACAACTGTATTTCATACTCTGATCATCAACTTAAAGTTTGTCAGCTGTGATGTTTAGCACCTTCTCTCTCTCTCAGTGGGGATGAACACAGTAACTAATTATGCCCAGTATTTGGAGAACATGCAAAATAAGACTAATTATAAATCTTTGTATATGAATTCACAGTGAGAATGTATACAGTGTTTAAAACATGGCATTGCATATGTAAAGAAAGAGTGACTAAGAGTAGGAGCTCAGGAGTTGGCTACCTGGGCTTGAAATCCTGGCTCCCCCACTTATTTTCTGTGACCCTTGATAAACTATTTGACCTCTCTGAATATCAGTTTCCTTATTTGTGTAATTAGGGGAATAACAATACTGACCTGAAATCGTTTTTGAGGACTTAGTAAAGTAGATCACTCATAAAATAAAGCACTTAGATAATGGAAATGAAATGAAAAGGGAAATGAAATATAATGCAAGAATGCTTTTATCAGTTGTAAAACTCTGTGAGCCAAATATCTCATTTCCACTAAAAAAAATACACACACACACACACACACACACACACGTGAGAACACTGGGTCCCCTAGGTTTCAGTCTTAGCCTGTAGAAAGGGTAATTGCTGACCCCATCCACTTACCATCATTTGCAAGAGTTTTTTCATAGCTGGGTTTAAAAGAATTCTTCCTGGTTTGTTGGGTTGTGGTCTAGGGTAGTTACTTTCGTGTAGCTGTTCTTCGGTTAGCAGGTAGTCTTTAAGATGTCTACAGAGAGTAATTCCTGTGAGCACTAAGAAAAGAAGAAAAGCCATTCCATAAAATTTAGATAGCATTTTTGTCTTTATGTTGTGGTAAGGTCAGAGTTTACTAACCCTTTTGGATATGAAATGCTAGGGTTCTGATTAATATTAAGTAAGGTAGTGGCCTAAAAGATTTCTAGGTCTTCATGTCCATCATCCAACAACAGCAACAAAACCAATATTGTTCCCTGCACCATGTGACATCACATGCTTGAGGTGAGAGAAGGGAAGTAAGAATCATATCAGTAATAGCTAGCATGTATTAAGCATAGCACCTTTATTTGAATGTCACATTAACTTAGAAAGACAACTGTATTCATTTCATTTTTACAGATGAGGAAAATGAGGCTCAGAAAAATCAAAGACCCATGACCAAGGTTACACAGCACAAGTGACACACAAACCCAGGTCTTCTGGCTCTAAATCATGCTAAATTATTCTTAATATTCAGATAAGAATACTGCAAATGCTTATATGCAAGGTCCATAAAGGGAAACATGACAAGTCTCTCATGGCAAAAGAGTTAAAGTTCAGGTTCCATTTTTAACATCATTTACCCAGACCAAGATCCCCTCATTCTTATGGATTCTTTTAAAATTTTATCTAATTTCTTATTTAAAACTCTAGCAGAATTTTCTAGATATTCTTTGGTAAACCCTTTTTCAAAAGGAAAAATTATTTTGTGAGAAGTATTAGGAGATTCAAAAAGCATCTATTTTGTTTTTATTCATACACACACACACACACACACACACACACACGGCTTTATTAGAGAAGATGCACTACCATTTGGTTTTATTCAAAATACAGCCAAATTCAAATTCTGTAGCTTCTTGCTCCTTGGAGCTTGTTATAAATTCAGTGTTTGAGGTTCTCCCCAGACCTACTGAACCATATTCTGCATTTTAACAAGATTCCCGGGTAATTCAAATGCATGTAAAGTTTGAAGTTTGAGAAGCATTGCTCTTGCTGACTAGACATACATTAACCAAAAAAGAAAATATATGTTAATCAAAAAAGAAAAATAGGTGAGAATTCAATCCAAATATAGCTTAAATTTAAGTTCTTTCCCCTTATTTATACAATTTTTAAAATTTCACTTGCAGTTCTGGGATACATGTACACAATGTGCACGTTTGTTACATAGGTGTACATGTGCCGTGATTGTTTGCTGCACCTATCAACTCATCGTCTAGGTTTTAAACCCTGCATGCATCATTAGGTATTTGTCCTAATGTTCTCCCTCCCGTTGCCGCCCACCCCGACAGGCCTCCGGTGTCTGATGTTCCCATCCCTGTGTACGTGTATTCTCATTGTTCAACTCCCACTTATAAGTGAGAACATGCAGTGTTTGGTTTTCTGTTCCTGTGTTGGTTTACTGAGAATAATGGCTTCCAGCTTCATCCATGTCCCTGCAAAGAACATGAACTCATTCTTTTTTGTGGCTGCCTAGTATTCCATAGTGTATTTAAATTGATTTTTTTAAAAAGGATAGCAAATATGCATACTATACAGTTGACCCTTCATAAACACAATAATTTAATATTTGTGCTATACCAAGTTTACTTTCCCTTTAAGGTAACAATTACAGGGCTTATTACTATTATTACAGTAAACTTACCATTTTTCTGCTGACACTTTCTAAATCCAGTTGTCTTAAATGTCATTACTGCTTCTAGACTGAATAAAAGATAAGAAACTCTCTGAAAATAATTATTCTTGTCTGATCCATAAAAACATATAGCCCATTAAAAAAGTATAGAAGCTTAGTAAAACATTTATTTTTATCTTAAAACAAGTATCCAACATGTATGTCCAAATATCTTCACGACAAATTCCAAGCTGGGAAAAAAATTAAATCTACTGAACTATTAACAAGGTCAAGAGCCACTGGCAAGATGGCCGAATAGGAACAACTCCGGTCTGCAGCTCCCAGCAAGATCAATGCAGAAGGCAGGTGATTTCTGTATTTCCAACTGAGGTATCCAGTTCATCTCACTGAGGCTGGTTAAACAGTGGGTGCAGCCCATAGAGAATGAGCTGAAGCAGGGTGGGGCATTGTCTCACCAGGGAAGCACAAGGGGTCAGGGGATTTCCCTTCCCCAGCCAAGGGCAACCATGAGAGACTGTAGCTGGAAGAACAGTGCATTATGGCCCAGATACCATGCTTTTCTCATGATCTTCTCAACTGGCAGACTAGAAGATTCTCTCCAGTGCCCATGCCACCAGGGCCCTGGGTTTCAAGCACAAAACTGGGTAACCATTTGGGCAGACATTGAGCTAGTGGCAAGAGTTATATATATATATTTTAATACCCCAGTGGCACCTGGAATGCCAGCAAGACAGAACTGTTTACCCCTCTAGAAAGGGGGCTGACGCCAGAAAGCCAAGTGGTCTGGCTTGGTGGATCCTACCCCCACAGAGCCCAGCAAGCTAAGATTCACTGGCTTGAAATTCTCGCTGCCAGCACAGCAGTCTGAAGTCAACCTGAGATGCTCGAGCTTAATGGGGGGTTGGGGGCATCTGCCACTGCTGAGGCTTGAGTAGGTGGTTTTACCCTGACACTGTAAACAAAGCCTCTGGGAAGTTCAAACTGGGTGGACCCCACCTCAGCACAGCAAGGCCACTGCGGCCAGACTGCCTCTAGATTCCTCCTCTCTGGGCAAGACATCTCTGATAAAAAGACAGCACCCCCAGTCAGGGACTTATAGATAAAACTCCCAACTCCCTGGGATAGAGCACCTGGGGGAAGGGGTGGCTGTAGGCTCAGCTTCAGCAGACTTAAACATCCCTGCCTGACAGCCCTGAAGGGAACAGGGGATCTCCCAGCACACTGTTCTAGCTCAGATAAGGGACAGACTGCCTCCTCAAGTGGGTCCCTGATCCCTGTGTATCCCGACTGGGAGACACCTCCCAGTAAAGCTCAACAGACCCTCATACAGGAGAGCTCTGGCTGGCATCTAGCAAGTGTCTTTCTGGGACAAAGCTTCCAGAGGAAGGAACAGGCAGCAATCTTTGCTGTTCTGCAGCCTCCACTGGTGATACCCAGGCAAACAGGGTCTGGAGTGGACCTTCAGCAAACTCCAGCAGACTGCAGCAGAGGGGACTGACTATTAGAAGGAAACCCAACAAACAGAAAGGAATAATATCAACATGAACAACAACAAAAAATTCCACTCAGAGACCCCATCCAAAGGTCACCAACATCAAAGATCAAAGGTAGATAAATCCACGAAGATGGGGATTAACCAGTGCAAAAAGACTGAAAATTCCAAAAACCAAAATGCCTCTTCTCCCTTAAAGGATTACAACTCCTCACCAGCAAGGGAACAAAATTAGATGGAGAAGGAGTTTGACAAATTGACGGAAGTAGGCTTCAGAAGGTAGGTAATAACAAACTCCCCTGAGCTAAAGGAGCATATTCTAACTCAATGCAAGGAAACTAAGAACCTTGAAAAAAGGTTAGACAAATTGTTAACTAGAATAACTAGTTTAGAAAAGAACATAAATGACCTGATGGAGCTGAAAAACACAGTATGAGAACTTCGTGAAGCATATACAAGTATCAATAGCCAAATCAATCAAGTGGAAGAAAGGATATCAGAAATTGAAGATAAAGTCAGTGGCAAGAAGAGAAGACTAGAGAAAAAAGAGTGAAAAGAAACTAACAAAGTCTCCAAGAAATATGGGACTGTATAAAAAGACCAAATCTACATTTGATTGGTGTACCTAAAAATGACGAGGAGAATGGAACCAAGTTGGAAAACACTCTTCAGGATATTATCCAGGAGAACTTCCCCAACCTAACAAGGCAGGCCAACATTTAAATTCAGGAAATACAGGGAACACCACAAAGATACTCTGTGAGAAGAGCAACCCCAAGACACATAATTGTCAGATTCACCAAGGTTGAAATAAAGGAAAACATTTTAAGGGCAGTCAGAGAGAAAGCCTAGGTTATCCACAAAGGGAAGCCCATCAGACTAACAGCAGATCTCCTGACAGAAACCCTACAAGTCAGAAGAAAGTGGGGGCCAACATTCAATTTTCAACCCAGAATTTCTTATCAAGCAAACCAAGCTTCATAAGTGAAGGAGAAATAAAATCCTTTATGTACAAGCAACTGCTGAGAGATTTTGTCACCACCAGGCCTGCCTTACAAGAGCTCCTGAAGGAAACACTAAACATGGAAAGGAACAACCAGTACCAGCCACTGCAAAAACATAAAAAATTGTAAAGACCGTCGATGCTATGAAGTAACTGCATCAACAGGCAAAATAACCAGCTAGCATCATAACGACAGGATCATATTCACATATAACAATATTAACCTTAAATGTAAATGGCTAAATGCCACAATTAAAAGACACAGACTGGGAAATTGGATAGAGTCAAGACTCATCAGTGTGCTATATTCAAAAGACCCATTTCAAGTGCAAAGACACACATATGCTCAAAATAAAGGGATGGAGGAATAGATACCAAGAAAATGAATAGCAAACAAACAAACAGCAGGGTTTACAATCCTAGTCTCTGATAAAACAGACTTTAAACCAATAAAGATCAAAAGAGACAGAGAAGGGCATTACATAATGGTAAAGGGATTAATGCAAAGAGAAGAGCTAACTGTCCTAAATATATGTGTACCCAATACAGGAGCACCCAGATACATAACACAAGTTCTTAGAGACCTACAAAGAGACTCAGACTTCCACACAATAATAGTGGGAGACTAACATCCCACTGTCAATATTAGACAGTTCAACAAGACAGAAAATTAACATATTCAGGACTGGAACTCAGCTCTGGACCAAGAGAACCTAATAACATCTACAGAACTCTCCACCCCAAATCAACAGAATATACATTCTTCTGAGCACCACATCACACTTAGTCTAAAATCGACAACATAATTGGAAGTAGAACACTTCTCAGCAAATGCAAAGAATGGAAATCATAACAAACAATCTCTGAGACCACAGTAAAATTA